ATTGGTGTGAGGTGAGACTTGAGCATTTTTTTTTTTTAAGCATCCTAGGTGATTCTAAAGTGCAACCTGAATTGAGAACCACTGATATAAACAATGAGGAAGCCAGAAGTCCTTTATTTAGGATGGACACACATAGTTTAATGGGAGAAATAGCAAAGAATAATACCAATTAATTCAAGCAAATCACTGTCCTGCACTGATTGGAGTAGAAGGGCTCTGAAAGGTGGATTCCGGGTCGGGGTGTCTTCCGGTTAGTAATGCTATTTCATCTGCTCAGTTCTTGTCCACCTCACAACGCAGCTGAAGCTGGAGCAGACCATCCATTGCCTTCTGGATGAGTGCCACAAAGAGGTCAGTAAATAGCTGTGGGTTCTTGAGACCCCTTAGAATCCTCAGATGTCAGAGCTGGGCCAGTAGCTCTGAGTAGATGGGGAGATTGAAATACAGAGAGGAAAAGGAACTTGCCTGAGGCCTGCGAGTTGGTGGCAGAGCCAGGGTCTGGGTCTACTGATCTGCTCCAGTGCTTTTTGCAGCTTCCTGCCTTCCGCTTTCAATCTCACAGACACTACGCCCATGTGGTGAAGCCCCATGTTTCTGATATAATCATCCCATGGCCCATTCTCTGTGACTTTCTAAATAAAATACAGATTTCTGTGAGGAATTTATCAAGGAAGTATGTTCAGTGTCTTGCTTTGGTGATTTCATTTAATTTTGAATTGTATACATTACTTTGTACTGAAGGCATTTGCTCTTATTTTTTTTCCATTATTTTGTTTTTATCCTGTTGTTTTCTTTTCATTTTTTCCACTAAGTCTTTCATAGGCAGGCATTTACTCTTATCAGCATCTGAGGTAAACATTGAGTGGGTTTGTTTAACCTGCTATCTTCAATGTATAAAAATATCAAACAGTAGCTTCTGTGTTGTGTTTAAGATTGAGGAATAATATCAGAATCACTTTTTATTTATCTTGCAGAAGAAAGACAAATCTTAATGCCATCAAAAGCAACGTTTAATTATAAATTATGTTTAAATTATATCATTATTATTTTGCATGTGATTAATATAGCAGATTGAATTTATAATTATATATATCAATGCTTATTATTATGATGATGCCACTTAACATTTGTTGAGCACTTTCTATATGCTAGGTACTACTGTGTTAGGTGCTTTGTATACAATATCTCATTCAGTCCTATCAACAACCCTATAAGGCTGGTACAATTATTATTTCCCACCAGAGGAGTTAAGAGCCTTGCTCAAAGTGGTACAGCTAGTCAGTAGAAAAGGTGAAATATGTACTATTGACCTCTTCCTGTAAAGCATCCAGCATAGTGCCTGGCACACAGCTGTAATAATGATGATAATAATATGTTTTTTTGCATTGAGTCAGCATTCTGTTTTTATGACATTCCCAACTTTCATCCTCTAGTTTCTGGTTCTATAGGAGGCAAAATATGCTAATTTTAATTCAGTTTAACAAATACGTACTGAGCTAGGTACTGAGGACTCTGAGAGGAATTTGACTCAGTCCCTTTCTCCTGGGAGTTCCCAGTGAAACGGGGGAGTTGGACACTTCGCTAAAGAAGCTGATTGCTTATTGTGGTGAGATACATGAACAATACGGGTTGGTGTTGGTAGGGCAAGATCAATTTTTGCAGGAAATCTATCCTGATCCCAACTGATAGAGTGGAATATGTTCATTTTCTATAGCTGTGTAACATGCCTTCTATGCGAGGCAGCTTGGCCACCCTGACCCTTCTTGGCAAGTTGGTGGACTCCATGCCTGCTTTGGCAGATGAGCTTGTAATGGAGCATGGTGAGTGACCTGTGGGAAGAGCTGCCACTACCCTTTTACCTGTTTTGATCACACTGCCATCTGGGTGGCTCATTCACTGGGAAGTCGTTACTTTCTTGTTCTAGCCTTCAGTTTCCCCATCTACAAAATGTGCTCTGTGTAGGTCAATTTGAAAAAGGTCAGTTTCTTGACTCTAGTCTTGGGCTATTTCCATTCATTCTTTAAAACAAATTAAGTAAGCATCTACTGTGAACTTTCCTTTTGGATGGAAGGAGGAATTAATTCTGGAATATAGAAGTACTTTTTGCTATCAGGGAAAGGCAAATAAATATCTCACAGAGGATTTATCCAAGAGTAAATCACTTAATTTCTCTAAGCTTTGGCTTTCTCTTTTGATTAAGCATCCAGAAAGCATTTATTGTGGGGGATTATAGAGAATTACCATTACTACCCCATTGGGGATAATAGTTTGGAGTTTCATATAGCAGTTGACATTGTGAGACTTCACCTGGCTCCTTGGTTGTTTTCCGGACAGGCAACCTGATGGAACATCTATTGAGAGGCTTAGTATACCCCAACGAGGGAGTGCAAGCTTCTGTCTGTTACCTTTATGGGAAGCTATACTCCTCACCAACAGCAGCTGAGATACTTTCAGGACATTTTCGGGAGAAGCTTTGTCCCCTCTTCCTTTCTACTCTGGATGGTGCCCAGACAAAGGAGCTACAGATCAACTGCTTGGGTAAGACATGGGGCTGGAGAGAAAAGGGAGAGTAAGTTTTTGAGGCTTTGCCAGAAGACTCGATATATTAGCCTCTTTAGTAGTGGGGAAATTTGTTGGTTTGCAAAGGGTAGAAACCACGATTTTGGGAGATGAGATGCACGGACTGTGTGAAAGATGTCTAGAGTTGGTATGGCTCTTAAGAATGTTGCCTTTGGAAAGAAAATAGGAAGGGAAGTGGCACAGCAATTTTTCTGCCTCCAGTCTTTACTGCCTGCCCTGGTGCATCCTGTACCTGCTTCCAAGTTAATCTTCATGCTGTAGAGCTCACATCCTGTTACTTTCCTAGTCAGAAAATCTTCCTGGCGTCTTATGTCCTCCAGGGTAAAGTCCAGGTGTCTTCGTCCATTTTGTGCTGCTGTAACAGAATACCACAGACTGGGTAATTTATAAGGAGCAGAAATTTATTGGTTCATGGTTGTGGAGGCTGGGGAGTCCAAGATCAAGGGACCAGCATCTTGCAAAAGCCTCCTTGCTGTGTCATGGGACAGAGAGGACAAGAGAAAGAGTGAGAGGGAGACAAACTTGTCCTTTTATGAGGAACCTACTCCCACGATAAAAATCTCACTCCAGTGATAACAGCATTAATTCATTCATGAGGACCCAAACCCAAACACCCAAACCCATGATCCAAACACCTCCCACATCTCCCACAGGCCCCACCTCCCACCACTGCTACACCGGGGACCAGATTTCCAACACATGAACTTTGGGGGACACATTCAAACCATGGTACTGGGTTTCTCTGCTTGAGGCTCTTTGGGAGCCCCAGTATACTCTTTTAGCCTCTTCTCCTGCTATTTCCTTACGTAAATACATAAGGTCTGTCAAGTGCTTCTAAGCAGGAAGCTTTCATATTTTGGACAGAACACATGGGCACTATGATTGGTGACCAGGTGAGGGCCTGTTATGGAGCAAAAGCTAGGGGGGAAAGCATAGACTATGGGTGACAGCAGCTTCTTTTCACGGTTTGTGCCAAGAGCTCTGTTATGAACAATCCAGCCACACAAAATCAGCCTTCCTTCTGTACCAGGCCCTGTGCTGGGATCTGGGGTCACACAAATGATCAGACCCAAGCTCTACCCTGGGGGGCTCACAGGCCAGCGTGGAGGACAGACATGGATAATTAGAGTGCAGTGCAGTGAGTGCTGTCACGGAGGTACACAGCAGAGGGTAGGAGCAGGAGCCAGGAGAGTCTTCCAGAAGGAAAGGATGCCTGGACTGCGCCCTGAAGTGTAAGCAGGGATTGGAGAGAGGGAAAGGAGGAAGGCAGAAGCATGGGCCAAACCACAAGCCATGAAGCAGCCTGTGTCTATGGTAACTTGGAACAGGGCGCAGCAGAGGGAAATCCCAGCTGATGGTACCGGGAATTCCCATTTTAAAAGCCACCTCTTCTCTGGAGCCTTTCCTTCCCCCCTCTTTCCTCCAGCCACGTATATGATCACATCCTTTGGGCTCTTCAAATGCTGTAGATCTTATATTCTGTTACGTATCTATTGAATCCTTGCTATGTGTCAGGAACTGTGCCAGGTGATGGATGATGTGGTGAAACTGACATTATTCCTGCCCTCCGGAAACTTATAGTCCAGTGTGGTAATCAGGGCTGTGTTTGCCTTGCTTACTATTCAATCCCTAGACCCTTAGGCCTAGCACTTAGTAGGTTCTCACTAGATCCTTGTGGAAGACAGCTGGGCTGCAGAAAGCAAATTGGTGCTTAAGGAGTCTAACCATTCTTCATCTCTATGAAGACATGAAGAGGTTTCTCTGGAGATGTCTGAGAGGCTGTCTTGGGAGTGCTCTGGTGCCTGTGTTCCTCTCTCCTTACTTCCCAATCCCTTTGTTTCGTAGGTTTGCTGAGGCAGCTGCTGAAGTATGATCTCTTTGTGTCCATGATCATGAACAAGTCTGCACTGGCAGAAAGTGCTGAGAGTATCGCAGGACCACCAGGAGAGACCTCACTGCCTTTGGTGCTCAAAAAGGTAATTAGTTGTGATTTCTGGTCTTAAGGTTCAATAACAAGGGAACTCAAGTGCTTCCTGGGCCCTGTCTTCATCTACCACTCCTTCTATCTAGGATTTCCAAAAGTGTTTTCTTCAAAGTAGGTTTCTTTTCTGTTGCAAATTATTTATTTATTTATTTATTTAATTTTTTTGAGACAGAGTCTCACTCTGTTGCCAGGGCTAGAGTGCCTTGGCATTAGCCTAGCTCACAGCAACCTCAAACTCCTGGGTTCAAGCGATCCTCCTGCCTCAGCCTCCCAAATAGTTGGGACTACAGGCATGCACCCATGCCCAGCTAATTTTTTTTTCTATTTTTAGTTGTTTGGCTAATTTCTTTTTATTTTTTGTAGACATGGGGTCTCCCTCTTGCTCAGGCTGGTCTCGAACTCCTCACCTCAATGATCTTCCCACCTCAGCCTCCCAGAGTGCTAGGAGTACAGGCATGAGCCACCACGCCTGGCCTCAGTTGTAAATTCTTGCCTCTGCATCTTCCCCTTCACAACTGGGCTTCCTGAAAATGGAGAATACATACAGCAACAGAAACAAAGCCACCTCAGTTGTTTAAGGGATAAATTTCTCAGCTTGGCACTGAAAACCCTCTTTATCTGGACCCTGCTCATCCCTTCAGCCTCACTTTCCTGTCTCTTCTACCCCATAACCCAGTGCTCCAGCCATTTGCAACTTCTCCCTCATCTTTTTTTTTTTTCTTTTTCTTTTCTTTTTTTTTGTTCTCCTCCTCCTCCCCCTTTCTCCCTGGTCTTGCACATGCTAGGTCATGTCTCTGAGCCTGTGTAGCGGCTCTTCCTCTCGGCCGGTAGGGCATTTCCCCTCTCTTTGTCTGTTGATCTGATTCAGCCTTCAGACCTGTAGGGCTCCTCTGTCACCCCAGCTCCTTTAGACAGAAAGTGCCCCTCTGTCAAAGTACATACCTCACCATATTGTGGTTGACTGACTGGAAGCTTCTTCAGGGCAGGATCTGAGTCTGGCGTCTCTCCCCAGTGCTCAGCACAGGGCCTGGCAGAGCTGCAGATCCTCACATGATATCAGGGGTTCATTGACCAGACTGAGGGGCTCCTTCTGCAGGAAGAAGGAGGAGTTCTGGTCAGAAGTGAGAAGGGGACAGTCCAGGATAGGTTAAAAAGCCAGAGTAAACTGCTTCTTGTTTCTCTGCGATGCCTCTAGAATGGTCCATGCAAAGCCTGTGACCTCTGGGGAGCAAGGCCTGTGTCTCTGAACCAGAAAATCTCACATCAGGTCACTTTCTGTGTTCATTTCTCTGCTGCTATCCTGGAATCCATGTTAACATGTGGTTAGAATGTTTGATCCTGGGCCCAGCAGGGGCACAAGGACTTACGGAAGGGTTCTTATGGCCTCACAAGGCACCAAGGCAGCATGGATGGCAGTGGCAGAGATTAAAGAGCACTTCCCTACAGTGAGAGAACTTTGTAGAGACAGGAATCTTGGTTTAGGGGTCCTGGCTTCCATCCATATGTGGAGACTGTTTTTCCATTGGCAATTTTGGCTGGTCAGGGTTTTATTTTACTATAGCAACCAGCAGGATTAGGACTAGGGGAAGCAAGTGAGGCACTTGCCTTGGGAGCAAAATTTAAGTCGGTGCCAAAAAAACCATAGCAATCAAGATAAGTAATATTTAAAAAAAATCAGGGCGGGAGCAGTAATCCTAGCATTCTGGGAGGCCGAGGCAGGAAGATTGCTTGAACTAAGGAGTTCGAGACCAGCCTGAGCAAGAACAAGACCCCATCTCTACTAAACATAGAAAAATTAGCCGAGCCTTGTGGCACACACCTGTAGTCCCAGCTACGTGGGATGCTGAGGCAGGAGGATCGCTGGAGCCCAGGAGTTTGAGGTTGCTGTGAGCTACAATGACGCCACTGCACTCTACCCAAGGTGACAGAGCGAGACTCTATCTCAGAAAAAAAAATTAAAATTAATGCAAAAAATTAATGATGAATAAAATATAAAAATTTTAAATAAAGACAAGATTGGCGTGTGTCCTCCATTCAGGCATTTTTGAAATTGCCAGAGTCTAATGGTATTCTTTCCTGCTTTGGGCTGATTATCAACCTATTCTCCCAAAATTCAGGTCCCTGGGAATGTATTGTCAATGTTTGTGTTCCTGCTGTTGCAATGTTGATTCATTCATTTGCTCAAATACCCACTGAGCACTAATGTGATGTGTCAGCCACTGTGTTAGGCACTGGGAGTATAATTGCATGTAAAAAGATGAATTTCCTGCCCTTACATAGCTTACAGTCTAGTGGGGAAGGCAGATAATAAACAAATAAATGAACAAGCAAAGTAATTACAGATTATGGTAAATGCTATGAAGGAAATAAAGAAGAGATGAAATATTAGCAGAGAAAGCCACTTACAGGTTGAGTGGTTGGGCAGGGAATCTCTGAAGGGCTGACATTTGAACTGACACTTGAAGAATTAGTATGAAATGATGTGAAGAGTGGGCAGAAAAGCATTTCATGCAGAAGAAATAGCAAATAAAGGCTGGAGGAGGGGAAAGGCTTGATGTGCTCTGGAAACAGATGGAGGCCAGTGAGATGGGATGGAGGGTGGGAGGTGAGGGAAAGTGGCCCAAGATAAGGCTAGAAATTAAGCAGGGGCAAGTCATGCAAGCCCAGGTAGGTCGTGGTACGTAATTAGGATTTTTAAAAGATAGATAGTTAATTTTGTTTATGATGGAAAAACAGGGTTAGAGTGTTTTTTTCATGATAAGGAATATGCATTTTAAATGAAGAATTTTTGTTTTCCTTAATGGATAAATATCATAATTCTTTGATTCTAAGATATATTTTTTTCACATTTTAATAGCTCTGAAATTGGGAGACATTTTATCATCAACGGTGCATCATAGTTTAATTGGCAGCACTTTTGCTTTCTTTGTGGTACATAAAATGATGGTTTGTCTTACATCAATGGTGTTTTAAGATAAAACACAATGTCATTTCTTTTATAAAAGAGAACATGATAGAGATTAATATCTATACTCCTTTACGTACTATCAGAAAGGCTGTTTATGTGTCCATTTGTAAGTCCGGTATGATGATAGCGGTTTAAGTTAGCAGTCCTTAGATTCATCTCTCCCGGACGTGAGTGTGACTTGGTCCTTTTCAAGCTCTAAAACTAGGTACACTTTCCTTTTTCTGGTGATGTATGTTCTATTGGGCATTTTCCCCCAAAAGATCAGTTTCTACTACACTTAAAATCTGTGATTACACAGAGTTAACTGTGGCTGCAGTTAACTCTTTTCTTGATTTCTGAAAGTGTTATAGGCACCCGTAATAGCTAGGGTGTCTAGTAGGACTTTGAATATTATTCAGAGCATGATGGAAATTCATTGAGATGTTTTAAGTAGAAGAGTAGCCCGATCTAAAATATTGTTGGGGGAGGCATCTCAGTTGTTGGAAGACTCCTAGATTTGGACTTGACTGACCTGGGTTACTGCCTTAACTTTGCCACTTATCAGCTGTGTAGCCTGGAGTAAGTAACTTAACCTTGCTGAAGGTCCCCAAGACCACCCCCCAGGTTCAATGATTGACTAGGAGGACTCACAGGACTCAGCATATAGCTGTACTCATGGCTATGATTTATCACAGCAAAAAGACATAAACCCAAATCAGCAAAGTCCAGGGGAAACCAGCATAAGCTTCCAGAGTCCTCTCCCCGTGGAGTCACACAGGATGCGCTTCATTCCTCCAGCAATGAATTGTGACAACATGTGTGAAACATTGCCTACTGGGGAACCTCATTAGAGTCTCAGCACCCAGGGTTTTTACTGGGGGCTGGCTGGTTAGGTAGGTACCCTTTACCTAGCACATACCAAAATCCCAGGCTCCCAGAAGGAAAGCAGCTGTTCAGCATAAACCAGTCATCCCTCGTATACATGGGGGATTGGTTCCAGGACTGCCTGCATATAAGCAAATCTGCATATACTCAAGTGCCACAGTCAGCCCTTTGGAACCCCAGGGCAGGAAAAATTGGCCCTCCATATGCATTGGTTTTGAATCTTGTGAATACTGCATTTTCTATTGGTGTCTGGTGGAAAAAAAAGCTGCATATAAGCGGACCCTCACAGTTCAAGCCCATGTTGTTAAAGGGTCTACTGTTCATTGTTTGTACAAATAGTTTAGTCACGGTGAGCCACTCTCTCATCAGTTCTGGAAATGGTATGAACTCTCCTGAAATCCAAGTTCCCAAACCCAGCCAAGAGCCAGCCTTGCAGACAAAGCTTTCTAAGGATAACAGCCTCAAGCCTGCTATGTTAACTTTTTTCTGTACACTAAATAAAGTGAGGATCATAGTGGAACCTTTCCTTGTTATGTCACAGGATTGTTGCAAACATCAAAACCAGATGAGACCATCCTGGGCAACTTAGAGAGATGCCATATCTACAAAAAATAAGAAAAATTAGTCTGGTATGGTAGCATGTGCCTGTACTGCCAGCTACTTAGGAGGCTGAGGCAGGAGGATCACTTGAGCCCAGGAGCTTGAGGCTGCAGTGAGCTATGATCATGCCACTGCACTCCAGTCCCAGCTGGTGACAGAGTGAGAACCTGTCTCTTAAAACAACAAAAAATAAAACAAAACAAAACGAATGAGGGCTGTGAAAGTACTTTTGTCAATGAAGACCTGAGCACTTCTTGGTGACAGTTTTAGTGCTCTTTGAGTGCCGCTTGTGGATTTTACATTGTGCTCTTTCATTGATATTAATATTTCTCTGCTGTTTGCAGAGATGCCTTTCTATAATCCATAACTGCTCTCCCTGTGCACTATCCTTGTGCCTGGTTCCCTGTGGTGCAGGAGGGTGCAGAGAGGAATTAGGCTCCTGCCCTGAGTCACTCAGGCCAGTTCCTCTGGTCCTGCCAGTAGTGTGACTGGGTACTTTTTGCTGCCTGTTTCTCCAGCTTCTCCTCTCTAGAGATGAGACCCTGCAGGTGGCCAGTGCCCACTGTATAACTGCGGTGCTGGTCCACTCCCCAGTGAAGCATGCCCCGGCCTTCATCCATGCTGACATCCCAGGTACGGAAGCCCTTCTAACTTTTTCCTCTGAGGACCACAGAATTCTGAATAGGGACCTGGGGGTCACAGCAGTGCAGCAGCCCTGTCAGAGGATCTTGGATAATACATACTAGAGGGATGGAGTGGTGACGGGTTTGGTTGTACATGACAGACTCTAGGAAGTGGTCCTTGTAACATCTGAATCCTTTTGCTACAGATTTCTTGTATGACCTTGAACAATTTGTTACTGATTTTTGTCATTTATTTGACCATCTAGGAATAAAAACCTAGTATAGTGTGGTGGAATGACTTGTGGACCAGGTGGGCAAAGGGAACTAATGTTTCTCAAGGGCCTATTCTGAGCTGGGCAATATGTCCTGAGGTACACTGCAAATGTTACTACATTTAGGTCCTCACCTTCACTATTTTATAAATAAGAAAATTGAGGCTCAGAGAAGAGAAATAACTAGTTCATTGACATGCTTAGGCATTGGCAGAGATGGGATGTAAAATCAAGTCTTACTGGACATGGGACCTCAAATCCCAGCACTTTGGGAGGCTGAGGCAGGAGGATTGCTTGAGCCTGGGAGTTCGAGGCTGCAGTGAGCTATGATTGTGCCACTGCACTCCAGTCCTAGCTTGGGCAACAGAGTGAGACCCTGTCTCTTAAAAAAAGTCTTTGGCTCTAAAAACTCTTTTTCCTGCCTCACACTGCTGCCTATCCTGAGAATTAGGAGACCTAAATTCCAGTCCCACATTTGCTACTAACAGTGACTCTTCTCTAGGCCTCAGTTTCCCCATCTGTTAAAAAGGAGAGATTAGACCATAATCTTGAGGGCATTTTCCAGGTTTATCTGTGATTTGATGATCATGTCTCATAGAGAGGGCGTGTGAACAGATGAAGTAACAGGAGTAAGATGCTGCGTAAATTCAGGGCCCTAGTGTTAGTTAAGGGATCATGATCACATGACTGTCATTTACTGTTTTCTCATCCTTTTCCCTGCCAGAGTTCCTCTTTGAGCATCTTTCCTCTTCCAGTGAAGTGCTTATCTGGTCCAGCTACAACTGCTTGATACTCCTGGCAGAAGAGCCACTCTTTTTTTCCAAGTGCCACACAGTATACGGTTGGTAGTGGGGGTCCTATACTAGCTCTAGGTTGAGTGAACAGCAGTTCGAAGTTGAGTAGGAATAGCAGTGATGGGGGGCTAGCCTCCACCTCAGAGGGGAGAGCTGGGGTCTGTGCATTTCCATCAGCATAGTCACTACCCGATTCTATGTGCAAGCCTTGATATCCAAATGGTTCTGCTGTTCACTGATTAACAGAAGTATATATGTTTAGACTCTTCAGCAAGGGAAGGACACTCCTGGTAGCCACTGAATGAATTCCTGTTGCATGTTAACGACAGATCTAAACAATGTTACTCAGCCTTGGATTTAGTCCTTTCCCATGCCCCAGAGATCTGCCCATCCAAGTAGTCCCTAAGTTTTGCTGATTTATCCTTTCAAAGTTTCTTGAAACTGTCCCTTCCTTGTCTGGGATTTTTTTTTTTTTTTTTTTTTTGAGGCAGAGTCTCACTTTGTTGCCCTGGCTAGAGTCAGCCTTGCTCACAGCAACCTCAGACTCCTGGGCTCAAGCGATCCTACTGCCTCAGCCTCCCAAGTAGCTGGGACTACAGGCATGCGCCACCATGCCCAGCTAATTTTTTCTATATATTTTTTAGCTGTCCAATTAATTTCTTTCTATTTTTGGTAGAGACTGAGTCTCGCTCTTGCCCAGGCTGGTTTCGAACTCCTGAGCTCAAACAATCCGCCCGCCTCGGCCTCCCAGAGTGCTAGGATTACAGGCGTGAGCCACTGCGCCCGGCCCCTTGTCTGGGATTTTTTATATCACATCTGGATTTTTAGAGTAGGAAAATTCAATCATTCATTTTATATTCTGTGTTCTTAGTCTATGTAAGGCACTTGGCTGGGACCTGGAGATTTAGAGATAGCAAGTAACATAGGCTTCCTGGAGGAGTGCAGTTTCGACCTGATTCTTCAAGGAGGAAAGGAATGTGCCAAGTGGAGATGTGGCTTGGTCAGTAGGCATTCACTGAATACCTTGAGTGCCAGGGCCTGTGCAATGGCATGTGCTGGGTGTTGGGGAAACAGATGAATCAGATAAGGGTCTGCCCCCAAAGATCTCACAGTCCAGTCCCATCAGCTCAACCTTGTCAGGATCCTTCCACAAAAGGCTGCCAGCCAATATGTGCTATCCAGAGCCTGTCACCTTTCCTGGTGGGCTGTGAAGGAACCGCAGAGTACTGATGCCTCGCCTCTGTCGTGTCATCCTGAGGTAGGGATCGAGGCAGTGGTGAGGAGCCTACAGGGGATCCTGAAGGTGAACAACACGGAGCTGCACAAGCAGGGCCTGCTGCTCTTTGCTGAGATCCTGACTCGGTGAGCAAAGTGGTGGAACATCAGGCCTGTAGGGGCCAGGCTGGAGAAGGAAAAGTGAGCTCTTACTCCTGGTGGGATCAGTGATAAGTGTTCACTCAAGGGGGTGGGGGGGCAAGGGCAATGTAACCTAAACATTTGTACCCCCATAATATGAAGAAATAAAAAAAAAAGAGTTCACTCACTCATTTCTCATCTACCATTTCTCAGGCAGCCAGAGGAGATCAAGCTCTTCACGAGCTCAGCCGTACGCAGAGATGCTGGCCGTGCCCTCCAAGAAGCAGTTAGCAGCCCTGTGCTGGAGGTGGCTGCTGAGGCAGTGAAGGCCACTTCTGCTTTTCTGAGGTGAGAGATCAAGGCAGACTGAACTTTCCACCCCTGCATGTACCTGAGGGCCTGCTGAGGCCAGGGCAGCTGATAATTTTAAGTATTTCTAGATTACTTACAATACCTAATGCAGTTATTTCTCTGTATCCATGGGTTTCGCATCCTTGGAGTCAACCAACCATGGAAATACTAAAAAAAAATGGATGGTTGCATCTGTGCTGAACACATACAGACTTTTTTTCTTGTCATTATTCCCCAAACAATATAATATAACAACTATTCACATAGCATTTACATTGTATTAGGTATTATAAGTAACCAAGAGTTGATTTAAAGTATACTGTAGGATGTGCATAGGTTATATGCAAATACTATGCCATTTTATATCAGGGACTTGAGCATCCATGGATTTTGGTATCCATGGAGGTCCTGGAACAAATCGTTCAGGATACCAAGGGACGACTATGCAAAGTAAATGCTGTGTAAACAGTTGTTATACTGTATTTTAAAATTTTGTATTATTTTTTATTGTTATATTTTAAAAAATATTTTTGATCCATGATTGGTTAAATCCACAGATGTAGAATCCACAGGTACAGAGGTCTGACTGTACTTCCAAAGTCTTATGTTATCATGTTTTCCGTATTTTCTTTGTTGTTTTGGATTTATATCTTGGGAAAAAGAATCCCTTTACTTTCATAAGTAGCAGTAGCAGAGGAGTAGCAGAGGTCACTGTTTCTGTTGACTCCATCTGTTGACCAGACTGGGCAATAACGAGACCCTGTTTCTACAACAACAAAAAAGGATTTAATTAGCTCACATGTTTTGTCTTCCCTATAACTCCTTGGTGTGTTTGGTATTTAATATTTTATGTTTTTGAACCTTTAAATAACATGCCTAAAACTGGTATTGATATTCCCTCAACTCCAGCAGTATCTCCTGACTTCCTGCTTGGTTAGCAGCACCCCAACTCTTCCTTTCCCATCTCTTCCTTACTTTCTACTTCTCAAGGTTAGTCAGCTGTATCTTTAATTTTACATTGTAAAAGTCGTTAATATTTATAGTCTCTTCTGGAACCATATTTAAGTCTTTGTGATTTGACTCTAGGTTGGTTATTAAAATTGAAACAAAAAATAGCATTTACATTACAGTGTCTTCAATCTGTCTCCCTTACCCCTTTGTCCTCTCCTGGATTTGATTCTCTAAATATGGAGCATGAATCCCAGAGTGGATGGGATGAGTAACCAACAGGGTCACAAAGGCAAAGAGTAAGAGCTGTGTTAATCAGAAGCACCCATGCAGAGCTGGAAGTCTCCCAGGAGGTCAGTGCTATGGGAGACCAGTAGCACCTTTCAGGCAGGAGGTGGTATTTGAGTTGTGCTATGAGGGATGAGAGAGATTTAGATTTGTGGGAGGACCAGCGTTAGCAAAAACATGTGGGTGGGAAAGTGTAAGGATTGCTGAGGGTACAGTAGTCAGTTTGCCAGCAGGTTATGTGAAGGGGGTGATGCCTGAAGAAGCAGGAATGCTGGTTGGGTTAGAATTGTGGAGAGAGATGGGTAGGGGGCAGGTTATTAATCCTTGGATGATTTTACTTTTGACTTTAACTTCCCAGAAACTTTACTGAGGTGGAGTGGCTCAGAGAGTCTCTGGGAAGCACAACTAGAGGAAGAATGAGGAGTGAGAGCTACTGAAAAGAGCTTCCGGAAATGAAGAAAAAAAGGAAAAATTAAGCCTTAACTATATATAAGTGACTAGGAACCTATTAGAAGGCCTAACAGATAATACTCAGTGTTCAAAAAGACCCAGGGATGAGGGTTAACAAGTTTGTTTCTTAGCTACTGTGCTGGGTTGAATAGTGTCCACCAACATTCATGTCTACCCAGAACCTGTGAATGAGCCTTATTTGGAAATAGGGCCTTTGCAGATATAATGGGGTTAAGAGGAGGTCATATGGCATGGGCTGTAAATCCAGTGACTGGTCTCTTTATAAGGAGAGGGGGATTTGGACATACAGTGACACAGACACACACAGACGGAAGATCACCATGTGAAGACAGAGACAGAAATTAGAGTGATACAGCTACAAGCCAAGGAATGTCAAGGATTGCTGACAACCACCAGAAGCTAAGAAGAGGCAAGGGAGGATTCTTTCCAAGACACTTTTAGAGAAAGCATGGCCCAGCTGACATACTTTCATTTCAGATTTCTAGCCTCCAGAACTGTGAGAGGATAAACTTCTATTGTTTTAAGCCAACCAGTTTGTGGTAATTTATTATAGCAGCCCTAGGAAACCAATATCCTGTCAAATATTCATTCATTCATTTCATTTAACACCCAAGCTGGAGTGCAGTGGAACAATCATAGCTCACTGTAGCCTTGAACTCCTGGGCTGAAGCGATCCTCCTGCCTCAGCCTCCCAAGGAGCTAGGACTACAGGCATGTGCCACCATGCCTGGCTAATTTTTCTTTTTTCTTTTTTTTGTAAAGATTGGGGGGAGTCTCACTATGTTGCTCAGGCTGGTCTCAAACTCCTGGCCTCAACTGATCTCCTGCCTTGGCCTCCTGACACTGGGATTATAGGCGTGAACCACCACACCTGGCCCATTTAACATATTTTTGTATTTATCATCAATTTACAATGCATCTATCTCTGCTTAGGTAAAGTGAAAAGATAGAACTGGTTCCTGGCCTCTTGGAGCTCATGGTTAAACTAGTCAATGACTCTTGCCTCTTTTAAGTCTACAGAATATGAGGGTTCAGCTGGACCCTAAATGTTACCTGCCCACATTTACCCCACACTCATGATGACTGAATCTCCAAAAATAGTGTTCCAATCTCTGCTTATAATCTCCCAGAATGGGGAACTCACTTCTTCCTAGATAGTCACCTCTATCTTTATTCAGTTTTGACTCTAAGAAAGTTCTTCCAGGTGCTGAAATAAAATCTGGGTCCTGATAACATTTACCTATTGATCCTGGTTTTCCTCATTGAGGTAACAGAGAGCAAGTTTGATCTCTTTCTCAGGAGAGCTTGTTACTTATTTGAGAACAGTGACCATTACATTTCTTGATGCACCTTCAGTTCTAGGTTCTAGGTAGTTCTTCCTTCACCAAGGATCCCTTCTCAGTGAGAAAACTTTGTGTCCTTAATAGCTATAATAAAAGTCATAGCTGGCATTTGCTATGTATTAAGCATCATGCTAAGTGTTTGGCAATATTATCCTATTTGATCCTCAGAACAATTCTATGAGGAGAGCACTATTAACCCTCATTTAATAGATGAGGAAGCTGATGGTGTGCAAAGTTGTGCAACTAGATAAATGTTGAAGTAAGGATTTTTATCAGATCGAACCCTGTGTTCTGATCCAGCCACACTACCTTCCACTGCCTGAGAGCCTGGGGGTATCTTGGGAGTACCCTTGCCTCACCCTGAGCCTTCTCTTGTCTCTCTGGATGCAGGAAGGACCATCAGAGCACTCCACCCGTGCAGTACAGGGAACTGCGGGCCTTGCTTGAAGCCATGCTGAGCCGGTGTGCAGAGTTGTCCCAGATCCCTCTGAACAGGAGGCCCCTGGTCAGTGCACTTCAGCCTGCTTCTTCCGGAGAGCATGCTATAATATGTTTTTAGAAGGATAATTAGTACCCTGCCTTATCACTGCATGCCATTTTATGGCTTTTTCTCATGCGCACACATCTACAATGAGATGTCATTTTTTCCCTAACTGCAGAATTATGAGTTTAAGGATTACTGCCCTCATTTTTATAGATGAGGAAACTGAAACCACAGGGTGAAATAATTTTTCTCTAAGATCCAAAACTTGCAAGCACCTGAGCCTGGATAGTAAATCCCAGGGTGTTTGTACCCAAGCCTATTACACATTTCACCCCTTTATAGCATCTACGCAGGTATGGTAAACATGCTCACAAAATTATTTAAGCCTAGATTCACTAAAATCTTAGAAGGAATCTGACCAATGTGCAATGTGTTGTAATTGTTGGCTTTTAATGGTCCGGGGACTTAAGATACTGTCAGTATGAATGTTGATTATGTTTTTCAGGATTAACCTTGGAAATTAAATTCTTCACACCTAATGGGGTAGGGATTTTCTTTTGTTTTGGAGCAACTAATATGGACATTACAGTCAATGAGGCTAATGACAGCTTTCTGCATGTAACAGTCCAAGAGCCAGTCCTGTGGTTCACAGGGAGACTGGTGGTTAAGGTTTCCCTCTCTAGCATTTTTTAAAGGAGCTATTAGATTTTCAAGGATATAACCAAGATCCCTGGAAAGTTTGGTATATGGGAATTTCAGACTGCGGTGTGAGAGGAAGAGGTCTGTAGTCATCCAAGCATTGATGGAGACGCAGAGTAGGTACTTGATCAATAGGTTCCTCTCTCTCCTTCTCACTGCAGGGCCATGCCTCCAGTAGAGATTCAGAGAAGGCCATTCTTCAAAGGGGAAAGTTTCTCCTGAGCACTCTGGAGGGATTTAGAAATGCCTGCAGGTGAGGGGCCTTCTGTCATCTGAGGTAATATCATCGAAGGTAGGGGTGGAAGGGATTGAGGCAAAGGACGAAGTTCTAGAAGCAATACTTGATTTCTGATGCTGTGCTGCATAGCAAAGAGGACTTTGGCTGGGGCGGGGTTTGGGGGAGTATAGGGGGTTTGAGGACAGTAGGGTAGAACATTTCTAAAGATTCTTTCCTAGTGAAGTCTTTGCTACTGTGCCATGAGGTTGTGTCTCATTTACCTTTGTTTTCGCTACCCCACTAGACCTAGCACTAGCCTAGCCACTGAGTGCTTGTTAACTTAATTACATTTACATTAACAAATGTTTGTTGAATCTACTGTGTGCCAGGCCTGAAGCTAGACTGTGGGGTTAGAAAGAGAATTCAGCATGGCTGCTGCCCACAAGGAGCTCACAGTCTCTTGGGGAAGAGGCAGTTTTGTATATATACGTGGAATTTTTTAGGTTGTCAAGAATCCAGGGAAGGTATTCTAGGTAGAGATAGCAACATATGTAAAGGCCAAGAGAGAGGAAATAGCAAATAGCACCCTCTGGTCAGGGACGTACACACAATGGGGTAGAAGAGTCGCGTAGCATGAGGGAGGGGCTGGGGAGCAGGAAGGTGGAGACTTAGCCAAGGACCAGGCCTTCTCCTCATTGAGGTCTCTTGAGTTTTCTCCAGATAAGAGATACTTTCCCTGGATCCTGAGCCTAGGCACCCGCTAGGAGGGTGCTTCTAAACTTTATGTTGCTTAGGTGTTAGTGGACATACTCACACGTTGATTTCATAGGTTGGCTGTGGAATTCCAGAGTGAGCCTTCGGCGCAGGAGAATCCATTCACGGCTCCCAGTGGCGAGAAGGAAGACACCTTGGAGGCCTTCTCAGAATTTCTTCTCAGTACCTGTGACTCCTCGTGTATCCCCATGGTGATGGTGGGTTCTTCTGAGCCACGTACATACAGCATGAGGCTCGGGGAAGAGAAGACTGTGAGGGCGAGCCCAGCTGAGAGGCTCAAGGCAGTGACTACTTAATTGAACCTTCTCAGGGCCTCCGTGGTGTTATTCTTATAGCCACCTTTCCTTTGGTTTTAAAAATAAAGTGTAGTGTTTTATTATAAAACTAATAAATAGCTCTCAAGAAAAATTAGAAAGCAGTAATGAGAAAATAATAAATGGGTAATGTTTACGGAGTAATAAGTGCCTTATATCCATTACCTAATTTAGTCCTCCAAATGACCCTGGGAGATGGGTGCCATAACTTTCCCTAATTTATGGATAAGGTTGTCATACTCCTACAGTTAGCAAGTGCATGATGGTGCTGAGGTAGAACCTGTGACTTCAGTTTCCCTAGCTTTTCTTGTGTCTTTCTGTTTAGTAACGAGCAGCGGTGAATATATATTATCCAAGTGTTAATAAGGAACACATATGTGTGTTCTGTAAAATGCAAGATGACTGCTCTGAAGAGAGACTAGGTCCTGAAGAGCTTCATTTTTAAATTTTTTTTGAGACAGAGTTTCACTCTGTCACCCAGGCTGGAGTACAGTGGCGTGATCATAGCTCACTGCAGACTCAAACTTTTGGGCTCAAGTGATCCTCCCTCTTCATCCTCCAGCGTACCACCACACCTGGCTAATTTTTTAAATTTTTTGTAGAGACGGGGTCTTGCTATGTGGATCATACTAGGAAGAGCTTCATTTTGAGCTGAATTGATATTGAGATGGTAGGAAGAGCAGGGCCCAGAGCTGTTCACTCTCCAGGTGACCTTGGGTGAGTCTTCTGCTTGAGGATGGGACATCCTGTGAGCCTATGAGGAGTCCCTGTTAGAGGGGAAAGGGCACCTCCTAACCACCTATTGGGAACAGTAGGTGGCAGCAGGGAGGTGCTCCCTGGCTCTGCAGGAGAGAGCCTCTTTTCCCTGAAGAAGCCATTGAGCTGGAGTCTGCAGGTGGGTAGTGGTCAGCCGTGCTGCACTATGGCCCTGACCCAGACGCACTAATGGTAAGACGCAGGTGACTCGTGTCGGTTTCTGCATCTGCTCTGCCTTCCTCCTAGGTTTATAAAGTGTTAGAGATAGATCTAGAAGGAGATCATAGAATTATTATATTATTCCTTCTTTCTACTTTTCCATATTTTACACATTTTCTTTAATCAGCAAATATTACTTTTATAATTTTAAAAAAACCATACTTGCTTTAAAAACCAAAGGAAAGGGCCGGGCGCGGTGGCTCACGCCTGTAATCCTAGCACTCCGGGAGGCCGAGACGGGTGGATTGTTTGAGCTCAGGAGTTCGAGACCAGCCTGAGCAAGAGCGAGACCCCATCTCTACTAAAAATAGAAAGAAATTGGCTGGACAACTAAAAATATATAGAAAAAATTAGCCGGGCATGGTGGCGCATGCCTGTAGTCCCAGCTACTCAGGAGGCTGAGGCAGTAGGATTGCTTGAGCCCAGGAGTTTGAGGTTGCTGTGAGCTAGGCTGACGCCATGGCACTCACTCTAGCCCGGGCAAAAGAGTGAGACTCTGTCTCAAAAAAAAAAAAAAAAAAAACCAAAGGAAAATTGTCTACAAGAACAATGCCTCTGATGCCCCAGCTGTTTATGGCTAGGGAGTTGAGACCCGGAGAAGGGAAAAGGTGACTGCTCAAGGGTACATTGTTGTGCAGAGCTTCAACTAGAGCCCAGTTTCTTTATTCTTAATTCAGAACTGTGTCTACTACATCAGGCTGCCTCACAACTCTGTTCAAGAAGTACATGAAAGCTGATCTGAGTGCAGTGGTGTTTACAACTAATTGATCACAACCGGTTACAGATTTCTCTGTTGCTTCTCCACTCCCACTGCTTCATTTGACTAGCCTTAAAAAATAATAATAATAAATGTGAAGGCAATTTGTAAACTATATTATTATCACTCTTATTACTGTAGTAATAGAAACAAAAATGTCACTCTACATTATGGTTTTGAAAGTACTTTTTACACGTCAGACTACATTTGTTTTTGGAAGGTAGATCTTGTTATTCCCATTTTACTTGTGGGAACAGAGGTCCAGAGAGGTAAAGTACCTGGTACAATCTATTAAGTAGCAGATCCAAACCTTAGACGTAGGTTTGTGACTTCAGGTTCTGTAACTTTTCTTGTGCCTTTCAAATGAAAGGGGTTAGTCTACTGTTGCTAGATTTGATGCCAGTTTTTGCTGATTCTTTTTATTCTTCGGAGGCTCAGTCCTGGTGGGCTGTGTTCTCCCCCCTGGTTCTTTGCAGAGGCACCTGGAACAGGCCACCCACCCAGCTTTGATGGAAGTTTTCCTCTCAATTCTGCACAGCCTCTTTGTCATCGTTCCCCACATGAAGGAGAAGTTCTCCAAGAAGCTCGGTAGGCAGCAGGCACGTGTGGAAGTTAGGAGGGAGGCAGGCACCATAGGTGGCTGCTCGTAGTACTCAAAGAAAGCATAAGCAGGGGGGATGTTTATATGTTCGTTCGGAATCTATATCCATTCTCTGCCCAGTGTTGAGTGGAAGGAAATATCATGCAGAAATCAAAAATCATTAATGGCAGTTCTCAAGTTTGTGGATACTTCTCTGTCCAGGAGAAGTCCAGGAGGCCCTAGTTTAGCACCTACACCACCCCACCTTCCCCATTCCTCTCATCCTCCAAGTTCCTCCCACCTCACAAGATGTTTATCATCTCTGACTCCTGAGCTCTGACTAAGTGCCAGAGTCCCCCCAGTCACTGTAACAACCGAAAAATGTCCCCACATACTTCAAGTGCCTTCCAGGTAGTACTGTCTAACTGTACACTGAAGTTGCTTCCTAAAATTGAGCCCAAGTAGCTTTTGATTCCTTCAGCCTTCTCCAGGCCTCTCAGATCTTTTTCTTTCCTTTTCTTACTAGTCATTTTTACTCTCTCTTCTCCAGTTTTTACCCTAAAAATACCTTGATCTGCAGCATAAGCCCAGGAATTCAGGGTCAGAGTCTCCTTTATCTTCCAGTGGTGAGAATGGGAAGGGGAATAGCCAAAAACTGAAGAGGGAGGAAAGAGAACAGTAGTAATAATTAATAACTAGTTTTTAATAACTATAATATTAATACCTGGTCATTAATAGCCATTAATATTAATAACAGGTTATTAATAACTAATATTTATCAAATCTTACTCTGTGTGAGACTCTATTTTAAGTGCTTTACATGCATTGATTCATTTAGTCCACAGGAAAACCCTGGGAATTGTGTATTATGATTATTCTCATTCTACTGATAAGCAGAGTGAATCATCACAGAGAAGTTAAGTAACTTGCCCAAGGTCACACTGTAAGTGATATGCCCAGAATTCAAACCCAGGGTATCTTACTCTAGAGCCTGCTTTCTTAATCTCTATGCTTACCTCTTATAATTATCATTTAATATCTTTTCTCTTATTCTTGTCACATAGCATGCAGTGGAAAGTGTTGTTTGACAAGTCTACCATGGAGAGGTAGCCAGGGGGCCCAGTCATGCAGAGCCTTGTCTGCCATGTGAGGGGGCTGTATCCTAGGAGCTTTGTTGAGTCTTAAAGAAGGGAAGTGACATGCTCAGATTTCTGTTTAGAAATATCTTTCTTAGAGCAGCATGGACCATGAGTTAGAGGGAGGCAGATTGGAGGCAAGTAGTTCAGCCTCATGCATTAACTCAGGTTGGTGGTGGGAATTAAGGTAGTGTTGGGGGGATGGAACAATTGCATATAGGGCACGAGAGAGAGGGCATAGGTTAGGGTGATGCCTTGGCTTCTGGCTGCCATCTACATGGGTGGTGGTGTTTTTAATCACTGGGGGAGGATCTGATTTGGGGAGGCAGCAGAGGATGTGGTCAGTTTGGGTCAGGGTGAATGTGAGATGTCCCAGTGAAGATGTTAGGTGGGTAATTGACTATGTCTGAAAGCAGGGGAGAGATCTGATCTTTAGACAAAGGTATAGAAGTCTTTAGTATCCAGCCTTTCATTCATTAACGAATACTTATTGGGCACCTGCTACATGCAAAACATCATCCTAGGTCTGAGGATATAGCAGTGAAAAAGAAAGACCCCCGTCCTTGTGGGGCTGACCCTCTAGTAGGGAGCAGGTGAGATTCCTCAAGTGTGTGTGTATAAAATGAGATGATGAAAGGGACCAAGACAAAACCAAGAGCAACATTGAATGGTCAGGAGGAGGAGGAGAGGTAGGAGAGTTGGAGAGGTAGGAAGGAAACTGGAAGAGTATGACATTAGGGAAGCCAATCGAAGAGACTTTTGTGGATTAGGGAATAGCCAGGAGTGTCAAGTACATCCCAGACATCAAGTAAGATAAAGATTGAAAAACGTCCATTGGAAAGCTGGATGCTGTGGTGTGTGCTTGTAGTCCCAGCTACTTGGAAGGCTGAGGCGGGAGGATCGCTTGAGCCCAGGAGTTCAAGACCAGCCTGAGAAGCATAGTGAGACCTTGTCTCAAGAAAGAAAGAAAGAGAGAAAGAGAGAGAGAGAGAAGGAGGGAGAGAGAGAGGGAGGGAGGGAAGGAGGGAAGGAAGGAAGGAAGGAAGGAAAAGAAAGATGTCCATTAGACTTGGCATCATGGAGGTTATTGGCTACCTTGGTTAGGGCAGTTTCTTCCTTTTTCTTTTCTTTTTTTTTTTTGGTGATTGGAGGATCAGGTGATCCTGGGCTCGAATGATCCTCCTGGTCAGCCTCCCAAACTGGGATTATGAGCATGAGCCACAGCACCCAGCTCCAGAACAGTTTCAGTGAAGTGGTTGAGGTGGAAACCAGACCACAGTGGGTTAAAGAATGAGTGCAAAGTGTGGCATTAGAGATAGGCATTAGAGACAACTCTTTTGATAAGCTTGGTGGGAGGAGAAGGTAAGAAATGCCAGTATGACTGGAGAGGAACATGGAGTTAGGAAGTTATCTTTTAGGACTGGAAACACTTATCTAATTAGCTGCTGATAGGAAGGAGCAATAGGGACACTGTTGTTCTTAGCACATGTGAGTTGGAATCCTTGCCCCCTCCCTTACTTGTTTATGGACACTGGGCAAATTAATTTACTTATCTCCAACGTCCTCAGCTAGAGCATGGTGATAATAATGAGAATTAGGCTGGGCGCGGTGGCTCACGCCTGTAATCCTAGCACTCTGGGAGGCCGAGGCGGGTGGATTGTTTGAGCTCAGGAGTTCGAGACCAGCCTGAGCAAGAGCGAGACCCCATCTCTACTAAAAATAGAAAGAAATTGGCTGGACAACTAAAAATATATAGAAAAAATTAGCCGGGCATGGTGGCGCATGCCTGTAGTCCCAGCTACTCAGGAGGCTGAGGCAGTAGGATTGCTTGAGCCCAGGAGTTTGAGGTTGCTGTGAGCTAGGATGATGCCATGGCACTCTAGCCTGGGCAAAGAGTGAGACTCTGTCTAAAAAAAAAAAAAAAAAAAAATGAGAATTAAACCAGAAAGGTGTGTGTATTTCCTGAATGACTGTAACCCTCAACTATTGTGACAACTGACACATATTAAATACTTATTACCTTCCTTCCAATATTCTTCCTGCCTGCCATACTTTAGGATCCAAGAGGATCCAGTCTTGGGGTACTGATGAGATGCAAGTGTATATCTCTTGGGGACAATGGTGGAATAGGGGATGTGGAAGAAGGCTGTGGGATCTACAGGGAGATCTGTGCAACATGAAGCCAGGTGGAGCAGGATCAGAGGCCCAACCTGCAAGAGGGAAGAGGAAGCAGCCACTGCCAACCAGGAGGGGGCAGAGACCTGGAGTAGGGGGTAGACTCTACCTGGTAGAGGAACTCTGAATCCCTGAGAGACGGGGCCAAGGGGAGCCCATCCAGAAGGCAAGCTGGGCACCCTCTCCCTGAGGGAGTCATGGGTTAAATTGTTGCCCCAGAGAGTTGCTGTGAAACCTTGAGGGATTAATTCCCTGCCAGATGCTTTAGCTTCAGCATAAAATACAGATTATCCCCAACCCTGGAGCTGGTGAAGTGGGGGCTCCTGATGTCTTCCTTGTCTAGGGGTCTGCTTTTACAGGACAGGCAGAACAGATGTTAGCACTGCAGAGAGCCTTACTTCAGAGACTGGGAGGAGCCAGGCAGTGCAGGGGCCTCGGCAGGGTCACCAGTAACACAGCTAATGCTGGCATGGGACCCTCAATCTGCGAACTAATCTCTTCCCACAGCAATTTAGAGATGGAGATAAAGCAGTGACAACTCCTATTCTTCCTGAATCTGAAACTGGATTATTTTCTACAGAACTGGGAGAAGAGATAGAAGGAGCAAATGTGTCCTTCCTAGTTCCTTGTCAAATATAGCAAATTATAGTGGAAGATAATTCAGAAAGGAGGAAAATGAATATTTATTCAGCACTTACTCTGAGCCAAGTACTTGTTAGATATTCTACATACATTTATCTTACTTAGCTTTACAACAACCTGTGAGGTACACATATCAAAACCAGTCTCAGAGCTGGGCATGGTGGTATGTAGTCCCAGCTACTCAGGAGGCTGAGGCAGGAGGATTGCCTGAGTCCAGGAGTTCAAGGCCAACATAGTGAGACCCTGTCTCTTAAAAAAAAAAACCAAAACTGAGTCTCAGATAAATTAAATAACTTTTCCAGAGTCACACTGCTATATAGTGGTGGAGCACATTTTGAACCAGGTCTATATAACTCTGAAACCAGTGCTCTTTGACACCACCCAGACTTGGAAATTTCTGTAACAAATCTGGTTTAAACTGTTCTCTGCTTTATTCCCATTTCTCCTAAGCTGCCTCATCCTTCATACAACTGACCCTGGAGCTGAAGGCCAGGTTCTGCAGGGGCCTGAGGTATGTATGGTCCTAGGCAAGACTAAGCAGGCAAAGGGCCAATCTTGAATGGACAAGTGGGAATTTTTGGCTGGTGTGTTTTGGTCATAGGACTGTGGTGGGGTTGACATACTGTCAGCATTGCTCAGCAACTGGTGATATGAGCTGGATGTGCTTCTGTGCGTTGTATTTAAACTGGTGTGGTAAGGCTTTCATTCCAGGTGATACTTGCATGGGCACCTGTCACATGAAAACTGGAAGGACCCTCAGAGATCATTTGTCTAACTCCTCATTTAAATGGAGGAACTGAGGCCCTCAGAGGGGAAGGGATGCAATGTCCATCAAGTTCTAGTTGCTGCCAGATCAGCAATTCTTGAGGAGGAACTCTCTCGTTCAGAGTAGAGATGTCACTGCTTCAGTTTCTGTCTCATTAGGTTTCCAGAGCACACTTTGCACCTTCTCACTTTTGATTTGCTACCTGTCTCTGTATGTACTAGGAAGGTCCATTTGTTACTGCCCACAGCCTACAAGGTGGCTACAGTGCAGTTTCTAGCTCTCCTTTCGTATCTCCGAATAGAACATCCAACATTCAGGAGAGAATACAGGGATCCATCTGGATTCAAAGTCAAAGTTTTGGAAGTTTGTAGTACTCCTTCCAAAGGAGTAGCACGACAACTTCTGCCATGGTAGCCTAAGATCATTTTGTTTTCTGTCTTGGGCTCAACAGCTTCTTCTTTTTTTAGTACTTCCCTAGCCCTTTCCTGGCCCAGGGGTACTTTTTTGTTTGTATATTTTGTTAAATTGGAGCATAGTGGCCCTCCTTGATTTATTTTATCAGTAAATTTTTACTGAATGCCTAGATGGGCCAGGTGCCTAAGTTACAACTGAGGGCAACAGGTTCCATATTTACTTTTCATATGTACCTTAGGACCTCCTCTACCATGGCATGGCTAGAATTTCACTGGGTTCTGGCCCAAAGCAGTGGTGTCCAGATGTGCCAGCGATAATGCTATCTGAGCCAAAGTAGCAATGTCATCTCTTTTGTTCTTTCTTCTCCCTCTAAGTCACTCAGCCCTAAACCAGGTGTGTTCCAGTTTTCTCTTCTACATGTGCCTCAACCTCCTCTCAGTTCCAGAGAAGACAGGACCACCCTCCCAAGAAGGTAAGATGCTACAGTTTGGCCACTCATAAGGTCCATCGTGGTCTTTAGAGTCTGTATTCCTTACTGATTGGCTAGATAGTGAGTCAGTATGGTAATAAGATTTCTTTGCCATAGGCTTCCCAGAGGCATCATTGATTCATAGACTTATAGGCTGATTCCTAGGGAAGTGAAATAATAGAATCCAAAAACGGTGGAATACAAGGTGCCTGGCACCATGGACTAAGAGTTGAGAAGGTTCCTACAGCTCATCAAGTTCAATCCCTCCTTTTCTCCCTCCCGTCTCCTCTGCCACACCCTACACCAGGCTGATTACTCTCTGCTTGCTCAGCTCTAGAACGCAGTGTTCACCATAGCTTAAATAACCTGTTCTATTTCTTTGTTCATTCATTCAAGAAATACTTCTTTTTCTTTTCTTTTCTTTTTTTTTTTTTGAGACAGATTCTCACTCTGTCACCTGGGCTAGAGTGCAGTGGTGTCATCATAGCTCACTGCAACCTCAAACTCCTCGGCTCAAGTGATCCTCCTGCCTCTGCCTCCCGAGTAGCTGGGACTACAGGTGTGTGTCACCACACCCAGCAAATTTCTCTATTTTTGTAGGAATGGAGTTTCACTATGTTACTCAGGCTGGCCTCGAACTACTGACCTTAGGCAATCTTCCTGGCTTGACCTCTCAAAGTACTAGGATTACAGGCTTGAGCCACTGCACCTGGCCAAGAAATATTTTTTGAGCACCTACTGTGTGCCAGTCTCTATTCCAGGTACTGGTGAAAGAGCCAGGGATACAAAGCCCTACTCTAATGGAGTGAGAAAGGCAGGCAATAAACAAATGGAAACAATGTCAAGGATGGATAGGTGCTATGAAAAAATAAAACTAGGCAAAGGCGTAGAGGGTGATGGAGGGAGAAGGTACAAGTTAGATAGGGCAGTCAGGGCAGGTGCGGTGAGGAGGCAGCATGTAAACAGAGCCTGAGTGAAGTAAGGAGGCCACGCAGAATCTAGGCAGGAGGAACAGCAGCTGTGGGGCTGAGAGCTAACAGTTTCTCCTTTCCTTGAATATTCACTGAGCTTCTGCTGCATGCCAGGAGAGGCCTAGGTACTGCTGTGGATACAACAACAATTACAATATGTTCTCTGCCCTAAGCAGTTCCTCCATCCCAGACCTTTCTCTTGGCATAACATAAAACAATTTAATCATTGTTTCATTCATTCATTCAAAAAATATACCTTCTTTGTGGGTAAAACTTGGTGACAGTTGGTGTTTCCTCTTTTTATAATTATGAAAATCCTGTGTCATCTCCCCCACTCCCCAACTTTCTCCCTTTTTTCTTTTGCAGACACTGTGCTGAGAGAGACAGAAGCCCAAGTGAGCATTTCCATTACTTTCTACATGGCTTGGCTCCTGGTTCTCTCATTACACTGGCCACTCCTCTCTGTGTGGTGTCCAGCAGTCTGCCTGTTTAGGCATGGTCTGGCCTGCAGAGTCACTCCCTCCTCCATGCTATGCAGAGAGAGTAGCATGGCGACTTCTGCCACGGTGGCCTAAAACTATATTGGCGGCCACATCACAACCACCTCTGGTGCTCACCTGTGCCAGCTCCACTGCTGCTCATGGCTCCCTCACTTGTCAGAAAAAGAGGAGCCCTGCACATCTGCCCCTTTAGATTCTGAGATTTTGTCAACTCTCAGAAGCACAGCACCCCTCACTTACATCCAAACTGCTTCTTTCTTTTATCTATCAGGAGAAAGGGCATGGAGATGCATGAGGCTCGAGGATATTTGTTTCATTGTTATCATATTGATCATAGTGTGCGTTGATAGAAAAAGCACCGAATTTGGAATTAGGAGAGCTGGCCTGCCTCTGCTGCCAAATTGCTGTGGGACATTTCCCATCCTTACTTGGCTGGGAGCAGGTGACTTACTTCCACTTGCCCAGGACTTGGCCCTGAGTCCACTGCTTTAGCAGGATGGACCCTTTCCGTTGACCTTCAACTTAGGTCCCTGCTTTCACTCTCTTAACCTCTAACCAATCTCTACTCGCTGCCGGAAGGATTATCTGAAAACCATGTCTTAACATCTTAACTCCCCTGGCCTTCAGCCATGGTTCCCACATATCGGTCTGTGGAGCAGTGTCAGGCAATGATGGAGTTTTCTGTGGTCCATGGTAAAATGTGGAAAACAGGGGAAATGTAGTGAATTTTCCAGAAGGTTGACTTTATTCAAATTTTAAGTTCTGAGATCCTTTTCCTTCCTATTCTTTCTTTTATGAAACAAGGTTTCATAAGAAATCTAAGAATCTCTGCCCTCAGGATAAAATCCAAATTCTTTAAACAGCATTCAAGGTCTTTTACAGTTTAGCTGTAAGTTACATCACACATTTGCACAGCTTCTGACACCCCACATCTATTTACTGACCATCCAGTCATACTGAACGGAGACATGGAGTTTCCTCTTATGCCTCTGGGCCTCTGAGGACCTTGCTTCCTGTCCCTTGGATTCTCTTCCCTCCCTTCTCTGCCTGTTTTCTGCTTACCCTCCACAGTTCTTTCCTCTTTGAGCTTGCCCTCCCTACCCTAGGCAGCCTGAAGCACTCCTTCCTCTGCATGATACTGATCACATGTCCTGCAATTATCTGTCTCATTATCTGTCTCTTCCCACCAGCTGCCAGTTCCTGGAGGTACGGCCTGGATCTCACAGCCTGTCCTAAGAGTAGCCACTCAGTGAACATATATCAAATGAATGAATGAACAACTGGATATAGTGTTTTTCGAGATGTATCTACGTCATTCCACATGTTAACTTTAGTTTCTCCTGGTAGGCTGAATGCTGTATAAGTAAGAGGAGCCTTTGATGTCCTTTTTTTTTTTTTTTGAGGCAGAGGGTCACTCTGTTGCCCAGGCTAGAGTGCCGTCAACTCTCAGAAGCACAGCACCCCTCACTGTGGGGTGCTGTGGCCTCAGCCTAGCTCGCAGCAACCTCAAACTCCTGGGCTGAAGTGATCCTCCTGCCTCAGCCTCTCGAGTAGCTGGGACTCCAGTCGCACACCACCATGCCCAGCTAATTTTTGTATTTTTAGTAGAGACGGAGTCTCACTCTTGTTGATGCTGGTCTCGAACTCCTGAGCTCAAGTGATCCTCCCACCTCAGCCTCCCACAGTGCTAGGATTACAGGCATGGGCTACCGTGCCTGGCCTTTGATTTCCTTCTATACTGCATGTACCCTTGCTGCCCTAAGCAGTACTCTGTATGTAGTAGGTACTCATGTGTTTATTACCTGCTCCCTGTGTCCTCTGTGTGGCTTTCCCTTACTTGTTCCCTCCCCAGAACTCTCTGAAGTGTCTGAGCTCCTGCAGCATGGCCTGCCCCAGATAAGCAGCAGGAGCCCTGAAAGCCTTGCCTTCCTGTCTGATCGCCAGTATGTGGAGGGAGCTGCTCGCCAGCGACAGTGCTGCATCCTGCTCCTCTTCTACCTGGCCTACATCCATGAGGACAGGTCAGTGCTTAGAGCTGGAGGCTGGTGGTAGGTCCCGGGACCCTCATCTGCAGCCCACTTCAGAGGATTCACAGAGGCATCCTCTCCAAGCCTGGTGCTGGGCATGGGGACACAGGGATAAGTGAGAAATAAATAGGTAGTATTCCTGAGAGACTCATATCTTGGGAGGGGAATAAAACAGGCAGGCAGACACAGTGCTGAGAGACAGAGGCCTGGAATACTAATGTGTGTTCTTTGGTATCCTTGAGGGTATTTTTTGTACACAGAGAAGAAATTTTGGTGGTTTATTCTGGTT